TAGATATAGATATAGATATAGATATAGATAGTTACCTTCTTATTTCCCAGGTATTTGAAAGATACATGAGCTGTGATTTCCTTAGCTGTTCTTTTAACCATAGATAAGAAACCTTAACTGAGTTGTTAATTTGGGACAGAATTTACTGCAGGTAAATTACCCAACAGTTTACCGTTTTCAAAGGTGTAACAAAATGTGTCTAAAATGCAGCGTTTGGTGCGTACCACACATCCTTAAATGGTTTTTTATCTTTCTTTTAGGTCTTCCTGAACAGTACTACAGCCTCACCTGGTTCCTTAGCCCCATCCTGGGCTTGATCTTCACTCCGCTGATAGGTTCGGCGAGCGACCGCTGCACGCTGAGCTGGGGCCGCCGGCGGCCTTTTATCCTTGCGCTCTGCATCGGCGTCCTCTTTGGAGTTGCACTTTTCCTTAACGGCTCTGTTATAGGTAAATGAGGGGGAAATCACCTGCGTGTACCTCCTGCTTTAATCTGTTTATGTAGGAAGTCAGGATAATGGTATGTAGTTGGTTTAAGTTACGTTTAGTGTTAAAATGAGTAGAATCACTGATTTGAGCCGTCTCTCTTGCATGGTTTTATTGTTATTAGAAAGTCACTGGTGCTGCACTAAGCGTTGTGCAGTCGTAGCTGTAGCTGTTAATGCTGTGTTATTAATACAATGGTTGCCAGCGTAATGTTTGCAGTCGCTGAGACGAACTTAGTCGATCTTTGACATGGGAAAATTGTAGCAACCTGTTCACAGGGAAATGTTTCCTGTTGTGAGCCGTTTTCCCTTTAATGCATATCGGGCAACACATCCTGTTTCCAGCATTATTTCAAAAATTATCTTTTCACTTTTTCTTGTGCTTTTCTTAGACCCGGTATTGAAAAAGTCCAGAACACAGTTAATATTTGTTTATCAAAAAAAACTATGTGGGAAAATAATTTTTCCTGAGCCCCCATCAAAGCCGGTAAAAATAGTTTCCCTTGAACATAGTTTACTACTGAGCTTAATCTCCAATCTCATTGTAAATTTAGTGTAGGAGAGGTGACAGGGAGTACATCTGGGGAAATGTTTACACCGTGCTTGGATTGATGCAAATGAAAGGAACTTAGCACCTAATAATATCCTCTTGGCTCTCGTTTTTTTGGGATAGGTGCAGCTCTATTGTGAAAAGTTTTCCTAATTGAGGGAAATGAGGGGAACATTGGCTCAGCACGTTTGCTTTTTGCCACATGGTGGTTTTCAATTTTCTGCAAACTGCAGTGGACAAATGGTTCAGATAAATGACATTTAGTTTATGGTTTGTTGGGGTTTTTTTCATTTACCCAAGCAACAAATACTAATAATTAGAATTGCTATCATATGAGTGATAGATAGAGAGGTTCTCCTTCCCCTCTACTCTGGCTGGTGAGACTGCATCTGGAATATTGTGTTCAGTTCTGGGCCCCTCAGTTCAAGAAGGACAGGGAACTGCTGGAGAGAGTCCAGTGCAGAGCCACAAAGATGATGGAGGGAGTGGAGCATCTCCCTTATGAGGAGCGGCTGAGGGAGCTGGGTCTCTTTAGCTTGGAGCAGAGGAGACTGAGGGGTGACCTCATTCATGGGGATCAATTTGTAAAGGGCGAGTGTCAGGAGGAAGGAGCCAGGCTCTGCTCTGTGATGTCCAATGCCAGGACAAGGGGCAATGGGAGCAAGCTGGAGCATAGGAGGTTCAACCTGAACATGAGGAAAAACTTTTCTACTCTAGTGGTTACAGAGCCCTGGCGCAGGCTGCCCAGAGAGGTTGTGGAGTCTCCTTCTCTGCAGACATTCAAAACCCACCTAGACGTGTTCCTGTGTGACCTGGTCTGGGTGATCCTGCTCTGGCAGGGGTTGGACTGGATGAGCTTTTGAGGTCCCTTCCAACTCCTAATGTTCTGTGATTCTGTGAATTGTACTTTGTAGTTGTGTCTCCAAGCCTTACTCCATCCTGCAAGATGTTAGACTGCAGCTCTCTTAGAAGATTTTAATCAATAGGAAACTCTTACTTCCACACAGTGATTTAGGTCAGGAGCCATTGATACTGGCAAGCAAAGCTCATGTACAGTTTATAGGTTTACTTTTAAATATCTCACCTTCTAATCAATCAGCAGAAAATATTGTCTTTGATTTTTCTTTAATTCTTTGTTACTCAGTAATAGTCTACTGCATAGCTTTCTAGAAAATCACACTTTCCAGATACTCCAGCACAACAAAACTTCTTTAAAGCACAGAGATTATTGCGAAGCACTGCAAAAGTCAGCTGTGTTCTTCATGCTCCATTCCTGGGACGTGGTTTTGGTGGATTTTGAATGAATTCCCTCTTCCGAGAAGCATTATAAACACTGCTGTGCCTCTCCCAAGGGAGCCTGGAGCAAACCCAACCCAAGTGAGAGCCATCCCATGGTCTCCTGTAGGCCACTTCCATACGAGAAGATCAAGATTTGCCACTGATATTCAGTTTACATCAGCGTAAGACAGCACTTGATCAACTCTTTAGAGCAGATGCAGAATGTGATAAAGCAGTGTTCATCTCTCTTAAATTGAACATTTTGAAATGGTAGCTTGTGTCACTTTTCAGAGGGAAAAGGCTTTGCTTAGCAGGCTCTTGCAAAACGGGGTGTGTAGCGGCCGCATTTGTGACCAGATTTTCCCTTAGATGGACCCTGTGTGTGTTCATTGTCTGTCATCTTCCCATTTTATGTTCACACTTTCCTATCCTTAGTCTCCAGTTACTTGCACTCCTAATTTTGGCTCAGGTCTTTGCAGGAGATACAGCAAAAACTGAGGTGGTCATCGTATCGTCCCCTTCTTCATAACCAGGACATTGGTGATAGGAGTCATTGGGAGGGGAACTTAATTAATAGTAATAGTAATAGTAATAGTAATAGTAATAGTAATAGTAATAGTAATAGTAATAGTAATAGTAATAGTAATAGTAATAGTAATAATACCACCACCACCATGTCCCAGGATTAAAGCAGTGTGCAGATCTTACTCAACACTGTTGAGGTTTCCACCAAATCTGAAGCGCTGACCCTCGTGGTGGTTTCTGCTGTAAGATTCAGCCGAGTGTATAAATAAAGAAGTGTAAACTTCTTTAGTGTTCAGGGGACTTGGTATAAATGAGGATTGAATATGCAGGAATCACAGCGCTCGAGATTTAGCTGGGTTTTGGTGGCTTAGCCAGTTCATCTCTTTTCCACAGTCATTTTCATCAGTTACGCTAATGGTTTTATCAGGGTCTCGCATGTGTAGCCTCTAAATCTGCCTGATTTAAGTAATTCATGCTTTTGTCAAGGGTTCATCTCATGAAAAAAAATTCCAGCTCTACGCTAATGCTGCCTTTCTGCTCTGCAGACAAAAAGCATTTCATCCTGTGCTATCAGCAGAAGCTGACTGATGCATTTTGCAATGCAAAACACCTTCGTGTTGCTTCATGCTTACAAGTTTTGCTTATAAAAGCGATGTAGAAAATACAAATTTTTAAAGAAAGCAAAGAGAGAGGTGGGGAGGGAGTGTAATTTTACTTTATCCTGTGGTGCTGTGACCATTATATGCTAGGAATGCTGTCAGCAGTGCAGTTACCTGTGTTTGTCACTGATAGATGAGGTGTGACAGTTTGGTTTTGGGTGCTCTCTCTCGCCATGTCTGTCTTTTATACAAACAGCCTTCGGCATTTGAAGGAAAACACACACGAGGAACATGAAATAGTATCAGAGGTTTAAGAGATACTTTACCAACATTTTGAACAATAAATGTCAGCTTAAAAATTTAAATTCTGACCCAGACCTTCCATGGGGCTGTGGCAAAGAGCTGAAATCACCATTTTACTCTGTGAAGGAATATTTCCAGGGAGTGTGTTGGCCACCTTTCTCTTAAGGAGTTATGGTTGCTCTTTGTTTTCCCTTTTGGAATGAGATGCTCAGATTTCTCCTGTTTTCCCTCAGGTCTGGCTATCGGTGATGTCCCGGACAAGCAGCCCATTGGGATCGTTCTCACAGTCCTCGGTGTGGTGGTGTTGGACTTCTGCGCCGATGCAACAGAGGGGCCGATCCGGGCCTATTTGTTGGATGTGGTGGACAGTGAGGAGCAAGACATGGCCCTTAACATCCACGCATTTTCAGCTGGTATGGAGTTAGTTAATGTGTTTTGGCAGCTGTTGAGTCTTCCTGATGACCAAGTGGTGGCTGAACTGATTTTTCCTGAACTCATTTCTCTTTCTTTTTCTCTTTCATAGGTCTTGGAGGAGCGATCGGTTACATGTTAGGAGGGCTGGACTGGACACAGACCTTCTTGGGTAGTATTTTTAAATCTCAAGAGCAAGTCCTTTTCTTCTTTGCAGCCATTATTTTCTCCGTCTCCGTTGCTCTCCACCTTTTTAGCATTGAAGAAGAGCAATATAACCCTCAGCAGGACAGAATCGATGAGGAAGGAGACACGCTTTCCAGTGTCAAATTCAGCGGTAGCCTCCCCCCTCTGAATCGACTGAATGTAATCAGTGAGGAAGAGCCATATGGAGCCTCCATGTTCCACGATGAGGTTCAGTCAGAGCACGATCTCAACATTGAGTTCCTTGACGTGAACATCGTAAGGAGTAAGAGTGACTCAGTCCTGCACATGCCTGACGCTACCTTGGAAATCGAATCGGAGCTGCTTTTTCTGCACGATATCGAACCCTCCATTTTTCAGGACGCTTCGTACCCAAACACTCCCCACAACACAAGCCAAGAGATCATGAAGTCCAAACTCAACCACCTGTCTCCTTTCCTCAGGGACAATGAGAAAGAGGAGGAAATGTTGCTTGATAATCGCTTAAATGAAGACAAAGTCCCAAACCTGAACGGCTCCCTACCAAAAGAGTTCCTCAGCAGACACGCTAGGATAGGCATGAAGCAATCCAGCACTTCAAACTCCATGCGTAGGCGGAGGCACATGTTCTACCGCCAGCCGTCTTACACCTTCTCCTACTTCGGCAAAATAGGCTCTCACCGCTACCGCTTTCGTCGGGCCAACGCCGTCGTCCTGATCAAGTCCTCGCGCAGCATGAACGACATCTACGACATGCAGAAGTGGCAGCGGCAGAGGTGCAGGCACAGGAACCAGAGCGGCACCACCAATTCGAGCGGAGACACGGAGAGCGAAGAGGGGGAAACTGAAACCACCGTCAGGCTCTTGTGGTTGTCCATGCTGAAGATGCCAAAGGAGCTGCTAAGGCTGTGCGTCTGTCACCTCTTAACCTGGTTTTCGATCATCGCCGAAGCTGTGTTCTATACAGATTTCATGGGCCAGGTCATCTTTAAGGGCGATCCAAAGGTAAGGGAACAGTTAGCAGTGACAGATCTGCACGTTGTTCCTCGTTTCTGAGATGTGCTCGTTACAAAAACACGGCTTTGCCTTTCTGTTTGTTGCAGGCCCCTTCTAACTCAACCGAGTTGCATGCCTATAACGCCGGGGTCCAGATGGGATGCTGGGGACTGGTAATTTATGCTGCTACCGCTGCTGTTTGTTCAGGTAAGAGCCTCTGCACAATCAGACAGTGGAAAACGGCACATAGATGTATTTTCAAATGAAAAATAATTTTGCTTCAGTTAGCATCTGCTGCCTTGCTTGAGGTGAAGGATATTTTGGAAAAGAATCACAGAATCATTAAGGTTGGAAGAGACCTCCAAGATCATCAGGTCCAACTGTCAACCCAACCCCACCATGCCCACTAAACCATGTCCTGAAGTGCCACAACCACGCGCTTCTTGAACACCTCCAGGGATGGGGACTCCACCACCTCCCTGGGCAGCCCTTCCCAGTGTTTGGCCGCTCTTTCAGTAAATAAATTTTTCCCAGTATCCAGTCTAACCCTCCCCTGGTGCAACTTGAGGCCATTTCCTGTTGTCCTGTCAGTGGTTACATGGAAGAAGAGAACAACCCCCACCTCTCTACCCCCTCCTTTCAGGCAGTTGTAGAGGGCAATAAGGTCTCCACTCAGTCTCCTTTACTCCAAACTGAACAACCCCAGCTCCCTCAGCCACTCCTCATCATTCTTGTGCTCCAGACCCTTCACCAGCTTCATTGCCCTTCTCTGGACACGCTCCAGCCCCTCAATGTACTTCTTAGAGTGAGGGGCCCAAAACTGAACACAGGATTTGAGGTGCGGCCTCACCAGTGCCGAGTACAGGGGCACAATCACTTCCCTGCTCCTGCTGGCCACACTATTGCTGATACAAGCCAGGATTTGTTGACCAGAAGCCAGAAAGCATTTAACGTGGTCATAAGGGCAGAGGCTTCTTCTAAAATCAATATTTAAAAACTCCTTCAAATGTAGAAGTATGAACAGATCAGCTAAGTGGCACAAAGCACAAAGAAGATACTGAATGGCATTTAGCGAGTCATTGGGAAACTGAAATGATGCTTGTTAGAATATTCAAGCATATGTAGGAGGGGTTTTGCAAAGGCTGTTTTTAAAATCAAAATTATAAATATGTATTTCTGAAAGTCTCTTTCGTGCTCTCCAATAGCAGATAAACAAACTACAGCCGATTTGAGCTTGGAAAACACATTCTGAAATCGAGGGCTTTATGTTTTATTTTTGATCTCCGCAGCCTTGTTGCAGAAATACTTGGACAACTACGACCTCAGTATAAAAGTGATCTACATCCTGGGCACGCTGGGTTTCTCTCTTGGCACGGCAGTGATGGCCATGTTCCCCAACGTCTACGTCACCATGATCATGATCAGCACGATGGGAATAGTCTCCATGAGTATCTCCTACTGCCCCTACGCGCTTCTGGGACAATACCATGACATTAAAGAGGTACGTGGAATATTTGGAAGATTTTAATCCAGGCAGAGCATTCAGTAGCAAAATGGATTTATTAAATGTCATTATTTGAGATACTTTCTTTGTTGGGATGTCCTTGATTTGTCCTTGATAGCAAATAGCAAGAGCCGCTACTTAAATCAGATGGTGTTAGCGTCAGCTTGGCTCAGTGGGGTCATGATGGCTTTACCCTGTGCTGAGCTATGAAAGGATTTGGGTGCATATGGTGGATGAAGAGAGGTTAAATCATTGTTGAAGTATTTGTTACATACTTTGTTGTCACTGCTTTTCTGAGTTAGCATAACTCAGGTTCTTCGTGGTCTTGGATACTGAGATGAGGTTGGGAATGCAGATATAAATTTGGGGAGACGTAAGGCAAATGATTCTGCTGGAAACAAGGGCAGATTTACTTTCCACTCTTTAGCACCGTTACACTTGGATTACAAATTACAGGAGGATCGTTTATTTTAACACATTTCTGCGCTGGCACTTGGAGGGGGATTCCTTTTTATGACCATAAAAATAATTTCCACCAACTGTTTCATGTAAATTTGTTTTACAAAACCTAATATTGAAGCCAATTCATGCTAGCAGTGGCCCAGTAAATATCTGCCTCTATGTGTAAGACAAAGGAGTCCATCAATAAGTAGATAAACTCTTCTCTAAACTCTGGACTTGTATGGCCTGAGTGATGTGCAAGGCTGACATAAAGTTACAGAATGAAAGAATATCAGGAGTTGGAAGGGGCCTCAAAA